GAGCCCGATGCGGGACTCGATCCCGGGACTCCAGGATCATGACCTGAGCCGAAGGCAGTCACTTAACCAACTGAGCCACCCAGGCGCCCCTGGAATTTTTATTTTTTTAATTTTTTACTTAATTTTTTAAAGAGTTTGTTTGTTTAGAGAAGCAGGGAAGAGAGAGAATCCCAGACTCTGTGCTGACCTTGGAGCCTAATGCAGGGCTTGATCCCACAACCCTGAGATCATGACCAGAGCTGAAATCAAGAGGCAGGTGCTTAACAGACTGAGCCACCCAGGTGCCCCTATCTGGAATTTTTATTGATTTTTCTTTTTAAATAACCTTTTATCTAAAAATTGCCTAGTAAACACTGTATGTATCAAATACATGTACAAGGAAAGATCTTCTCCATAAGGCTTATAAACCAAGCAGGTAACTAAAGCAGCTGCTGTTGATATCATAGTTACTGGAGAAAACACAGCACAGTCCCTTTATTGACCTGTGAACAGATATATTGGTTACGACTATCAAAGAATTAGAAGGCTTAATTTTAATGCTATTTGTTCAAAATGGCTTAATGGATTCCTTTCTCTTCTACAACCCCGTGTTTTAAGGCAGCAGCAAAAGTAGTGGAAAGTAAAAGGGCAAGAACAACTCAAGATAAACCTATTGAAATGGAAATCGAAGCTAATTTGGATATAGGAAAAAGGTTTGTAAATACATTAATATATTTTTTGTCTCATGGATACATCTTTATGTGAAAGTGTTGCTAGTGAGCCATTTTTAACAAAATTATTATAGAGGGTATGTTTTACTGATTATTAACATTTGGATATTTGGAGTACTGTACAATTACTTCCTACTAGACTAGTTCTATAAAAATCAAATCAACATGGGGACGTCTGGGTGGCTCAGTTGTTTAAGCATCTGCCTTCAGTTCAGGTCATGATCTCAGGGTCCTGGGATCAAGCCCCGCATTGGGCTCCCCGCTCAACGGGGAGACTGCTTCTCCCTCTGCCTGCCTCTCCCCCTGCTTGTGCTCTCTCTCTGACAAATAAATAAATAAAATCTTAAAAAAAAAATCAGATCAACATGGATAAATGTCACAGAGTTGAGCAAATATAACAAGTTTCAGAAAAATACGCATATGCTAAATAGTACCGCATATTTATGGGTACATTCATACTTAGTGCAAGTATGTAAAGGAATGCGTGGATATGGTAAATTCTAAATTCAGGATAATGGCTACCTTGAGGAGAGGAGAAGCTGGAGGTGTAATCGATGATGTTTTATTTCTTGGCAATGGACATTCAGGTTCATAATTTATTTTTTTATCCTTTTGTATGTGTGTGAAATGCAAAGTAGTTTAAGTAAGAAAAAAATACATTCGTGGGCCATTTAAAATGAGAATTTTTAAAAGTCTCGTGTTTCTGAGTTTATAATGTGATTTTTTTTAAATAAGACAAAATTTCTACAATCTTACTTGTGATTTATGTGTTAATTCATTTTTCCTGTTGTCTTTAGCCTTTAAAAAGGAAATTGCTTATGGTAATCTCTCAGAGAGATACATTCCACTCAATTTTTCAACACTTCAGCTACAACAACATGATGGAGAAAATTAAGAGTTATGTGAATTTTGTGATAAATGAAAAATCATCAGCCTTTCTTATGAAGGTATGCATATTTCAGAGAGACTCTAACAATAGAGTAATTAGAAATTGTTATAATAAAGGAGAATACTTGAAATAGAAATCCTTAAAAAAGTGATTTTGTAGAAGGGCAAAATGTTAAAATTAGTAAATCTACAGGGTTTATTGGTGATTTTTGCAGTATTTTTAAACTTTTTTGAAATAAGAGTTGGAGAAATTTTTCAAAATAAAAAGTTGGGAGAACAGATCAAAGAAATTTTTAGCATGTTTTTGGAAAATAAAATTGGACTAAAGAAGGGCCTTTAAAAAGATTTTTTTTTTTTTAATAACATTTTATGCCCCAGTCTTGGCCTCAGAAAATTTTAACTTATAGTGGAGCACTGATTAATTTAAGGGAGTATAAATACCTGGAATTTTTATTTATTTTTATTTTATTTTTTTTTAT